TGTGAATTGGGTGAAGTTTCACAGAACCAACCAGTTTTTCACTCAAAAACTCATCCACCTTTTGTTTCAAGCTATTGACTGCACTCTCTCCACTGTTATATGACTTCTTTTACTTCCTCCCTATGCTTCCTGCTTCAATTCCTCCTTCTTTTCTAACCTTTCTGAACTTTGTCCTTGGGCAAATGTTCACCTTCTGATCTCAAATAGTTGATAATTCATATCTCTCTAGTGCTAGTGAGCTCCTTAAGGATCTGTCTGGCTGAAAGATGAGCCCTAGGGTAAATTCAGATCCAGGCCTGAGCAGTGACCAATGGGCACAGTCGTGGGGGTTTTCCAGTCTCTGTAGGACCAGTAGGACTTCTAGTGTGGCATTGCCAGTTAATGTGGTAAACTGCAACATTGGTTTGGGCCGTAAGGCCAGCACTTCCAACTCACCAGCTGCTCCTTGGAAACCCTGTACAGGGTCACTATGAGTTAGATCCTGACTAGATGGCACTTAGCAACAACAACAAATATGACCAGTAAGGAGCGCTGGTAGTGTAGTGATTACAAATCGGGCTGCGAACCTTAAGGTCAGCAGTTCAAAACTACCAGCTGTTCCATGGGAGAAAGATGAGGCTGTCTGCTCCCGTAAAGATTTATAGCCTCGGAAACCCTATACAGAGTAGCTATGGGTCGGAATCAACTCGCCAACACTTAACAACAACATTTGACCAGTAAGCCTAGGCTTCTTTGTGATTTGAAGTTTTGTTACACATTTCTTCCCATTCGAGCTAGCACCTTCTAACGTGATCCCTTTCAAAGTAGTTGGCAGTGATAGCTGGGTACCATCTAGTTCTCTGGAGTCCTGGTGTGGCCCTGCAGGATCATGCACTGGACCACAAGGTCAGTTTGAACTGCAAGGTTGGCAGTTAAAACCCACCTGCTGCTCCTCGGAAACCCTATACAGGACCACTATGAGTCAGCACTGATTCCACAGCACTTAATAACAACAACAACAATCTAGGTCTCTGGGATCAGGGTCCTAGAGGTTGAAGTTTCCATGAACTATTTCCATGTAGCAATACTTTTTGACTTACCCTTATGTGTTTTGTTGTTAAGTGCCATCAAGTCGGTTCTGACCCACAGTGACCCTGTACAGGGTTTCCGAAGAATGGAACCTTTTGGTTCAAGCCAACTTTGCAGTCCAGCATATTAGCCCGCAGTACCATACCAGGATTCCCTCATGTATCAGCAGATAACTTGGGGGCTCTGTGAGTCAAAATTGACTAGACAATACACAACAACATATCAGCTTGAGAGCTGTAAGGTACAACTAGCAAAGATGAACATGAATTGGATCAAATGTCTCCATTTTATTACTGGCTCAGAGGAAGGGACAGGAACGTGTTAAAGGATACCAAGCAGATTCAATCAGATGACTGGGAGAAATTTTACAGAACACATGGCCTGGAGGGAGACTTGTTTTGCATTAATAGAGATATGTTGTTGTTGTTTTTGTTATGTGCCGTGGAGTCAGTTCCGACTCATAGCGACCCTGTACAGGGTTTCCGAGGCTGTAAATCTTAACGGGAGCAGAAAGCCTCATCTTTCTCCCACGGAGCAGCTGCAAAAAACAAATGCAATTTGTGGACCTTGTTTGGATCCTCTGGTAGTGTTACAAATCAGGCTGCTAACCTCAAGATCGCCAGTTCGAAACTGCCAACTGTTCTGCAGGAGAAAGATGGTGCTTTCTGCTCCCATAACGATTTACAGCCTCAGAAACCCTGTGCAGGCTTGCTATGAGTCGGAACTGACATCATGGTACTTACCAATAATAACAACAACAATTATCTAAAGACAGTTTTGAAACAATCTGATACACTTAAATACAACCCAAACATAAGATGATATTGAAAATGATTGTTATTATTTTAAAATTAATTCTAGCTTAATTTAAAGATCACAACAGTGTTATTAATTTCAATTAAATTGTTAGTATAATAATGTTGAGTTTATAGTTTGTGGTACATACTTAAGCATATATGACAGAACTAGTATTATGCGTATGGGCCGGTCTCTGGAGAAGGACATCATGCTTAGTAAAGTAGAGGATCAGCAACAAAGACAGGGATTGGCACAGTGGCTGAAGCCATGGGCTCAAATACAGCGAGGACTGTGAGGGTGGGGCCAGACTGGGCAGTGATTTGCTCTGTTGTACGCAGGGCTACAATGAGTAGGTGCTTGACAACTTCAAGTACTCTGTCTATGATTTGTAGTAAAATACCCCAGCACAACCAAACCAAACCCAGGAGTGTGTGTACATGTGTATGCACTTGTGTATAAGATAGGATTGGGAAATTTGTGAGAGTTGTTAAGCTGAATAGTAAGTACCTGGCGTTCATTTTGCTGATTTCTCTGCTTTTGTAGAGTATTTGAAATTTTCTAAAAGAAAAACATAAGTTGAGATGGGGGGTAAATGAGTAAATTTTTTCATTTTGGGGACTGGTGGTAACTGGCAATTTTGGTGAGAGCTGTTCCAAGGTCAGATGATAGTTGAGGGGAATTTAAGTTTGATGAGATTTTATTTTTGGTAAGGAAAGAGACATCAGGATTTGAAAACCTGAGAGAGTGTACGCAATGAGAAATTGAATACACAAGAGAAAGAACAAAAAAGTAACCCGTAGGGTAAAGCTCCAGAGAAAGTTGGAGGAAGTGGGTTCCAGCAGCATCGGAGCAGAGATGCTGCCCACAGATGCTGCCGTACTGTAAACCTGGGCACTGAGCAGAAAACACAATCCTTCTTTCTTTTCTTTTCTTTTTTTTTTTTTTAGAGCATGCCTAGGGAATAACACACAGAAAATAGTGGTGTCACCTTGAACTTTTGGAATTCCTTTGCTATTTAGATGGCTCATGAATTATTTTTCATCCTTAGAACATTCTTATAAGGAAAAAAAAGAGGACATATATTAAGAACTTTAGGACAGAAAGTCTTTATTAAAATAGGGTTCCCAGAAGCTAATTGACTCCCATATGTCTTTTCAAGTTTAGAAACCACCGGCCAAGGCACTTCTTGTGTAAAATGGTGAGCCAGGATTTGCTGAGTTTCATGCCATCCTGACCCTCCACTCACTCCTGAGTTTCCAAAAGGAAGAAAGATTGGGCAGAGGGCAGTGCACACTAAGGTCAGCTACTTACGGCAGAAGATGGCCCTTCCTGAAGTCATGGGCCTGACCCCAAAGCCAAGTTGCCAAGGAGTCCCAGGACAGTTACTCAGCATGGCTCAGTGCCTCCTGCTGGGCTTACTTGTGGTCACCTCCTTTCTTGGTCCAGAACTGTCCAGACCTAGGACTGGTGACATGTCCAGTTCACCAGTGAGGACAGGCTGCTCTGTCATATCATGCCCAGTGTGTCATGCTTCTTTCCTCCGTTCACTCAGCCTGGTGCCCCGTCAACCTTCCCTCCTTAGATAATGTGAAGAGCCGCCCGCCTACTTTGTTCTCTGCTTCCTGTCCCAGTGCAGGTTTATTGATGTGCACCCAGGGGTCTCTTCTCAAGCTTCAGCTGGCAGTGATGCACCAAAGAGTCAAGAAACCCTCTGCAGAACATCTGTCCTCATTTTTTGCCAACAGTGCTGACATCACAGTGCTAAGGGCTTAGCCCAGTGATAGAAAAAGGGCCAATACAGACACTCATCTTTTCATTTCACTGGATAAAGACAAGTGAATTAGAAGAAATTAAAACAAAACCAAGAAAAAACCACAGCGGACACATGTGAACATTACAATATTATTATTGTAGATACAAAGGGTTATCCAAGAGCTTTTGAAATGAAATGCTGTCTTTAAAAATTGGCAATGGGGCCTTTACGACTTGGAATTAGAAAGTAGCAAGTCTCCTGTGGCAGGGAAATTCTGGAAGCAGGCGTCAGTGCCCTGCCTAAAGTTCCCCAGGGCCCACTGCTTCTTCTGAGTAGCACATTATGTTGTTGTTGTTAAGTGTCATTGAGTCATTTCAAATTCATTGCAGTCCTGTATACGGTATCCTAGGACCAGTTGGTGGATTTGAACTGCTGACCTTGCGATTCAAACCAATGTTTGGGTCCAATGTTTAACCTACAGTGCCACACCAGGACTCGTACACATCAGAGACATGTCCAAATCTCTGAAATCATACTCCCATGTACTGTCATTGGTTTTCATTACTAACGACTAGACACAGCAGCCCACAGGGTTATGATCTGCTATATAGATCATCAGACATAGTCATCAATTGTTTCCACCCAACTTAGCAACAAATACTCGGAATCATTTTAGAATAATGATCATTCGAGATGGAAGGACTCTGAAATATACTTCAAAAAGTCAACTGGACCGAGAATCACTTTCAACCATGCTTTTCCCTCTTATTCAGGGAAATTCTAGTACGAGTTACCTATTTTGTCACTGATAGCCAGCTTTCTATAGATCACAGGACTGTACTCAGCCCCAGGGCTCAGAAACTGTTTTTAAGGCAAAAATTCATCAAAGAGAAAAATATTCTTCAAAAACAAATAAACAAACAAATCAAACTATATTTTTCTCTATCACTTGAAGGGCTAAACTTGAGCCAGTTAGAAGACTGTCACGCCCCCACCACTGCTTTCATTAAATACATCCATCAAGATTGTGTCTGGGTGCCAGAGATGGAGGCAGAGATGATGATGTGGAGAGATGGAGCGGCGGGGGACTCTAGACTCAAAGAGGGAGAGGGGCTGTTTGCTGGTGGCTGGAGGGCAGGCTTGCAGGGTATGCCCTTTAGTTGTTTGAATGGTTATATATTCCTGAGTACTTCGGTGTACAACCAAAACAAAAACCCAGAGGGAATGGAAGCAAATGCTGTTGAATGATGATGCATTGAGGGGACTGTAATCATTGCAATGAACCAAAATACGACAGGATGAATGTAAAGCTGATGTTGTCCCATGTAAACGATCACTCAATTCACAATAAAAACTTAAAAAAAAAAAATTGTGTCTGGAATTAGCATGGCGTCAGGATCTGGGGAATATTAGAGTCCACAGTGTCTGGGCTACAGAAGGTAGATCTGAAAAATGTAAAGGCAAAAAAAAAAAAAGTTTTAATTGTTTCTAGACAAAAAAAGAGAGATTGGTCACTCTTGCAACTTAAAGACTAATTAACAATTTGAAAATACTTCTACAAATATAGTATTGATTTCTTAATCATTCTTTATTTGCAAAATTTCAAGGTATAAAACTTTTTGTACTAGTTATACTTTTTAAATTATGTAGAGATTTCAAATACTATTTACAAAATTTAAATTATGCTTGGAAATGAAAACAAAAGAAAAGAAAGAGTAATACTTACTTATAGCCGTATTTTCCAGATACATCTGTCACCATTTCTGCTCCCAACCTATTCTGAGAATGTTTAAATGAATATTCCTTCCAAGTGAACTCAATACTTGTGATATTTCCAACGTCAACATCTGCATCAATGAATGTTGTATAAGTCATGCCTGGCTTAAGTTTTCCACTGAAAACAGAAGAATAAGACTCATGAGTTTGCTTTGAGCATCCACAAGGCTGAGGTGATAGAAAACATCTGTGTGTACCCCTGAATGCATTCTTTACATTCACACTGACCAGCATCTCAGAACAGTATGGTTCTGTAGCTTGGAAGGGGGAGGTAAACAAGACACTTGGCTAGCTGACTTCCAGGTGACACCTAGAAAGACATTATCTTGGTGAGGTTTCCAAAGTGAAAGAGTTGATCTTGGCTTTGTGATATCAGAAAACACATTTCATTGACAGTGCGAAATGATCAGATTGTTTCTGATGGATAAAAGTCACACAAGATTAATCGATAAACCAATTCATGATGGGGAAATGCTTCCAGTATGTTCTCCTACCCAAACCAACTTTTTGACCTGTGTAAAGGAACATGGGTAGTCAAAGGAACATGGGTAGATCACTAGATCAGAAGGTATGTTGGTGAGCATGCAACAGAGCATAGAGAGGGGAATTACCTTGGGACATGCTCCATCCAAGCCCAAATGAGACCAGAAGAAACTTTCCCACAAGACAAAAAACCTTCTCTATGGCCCAGACTGCTCATGTCACCCAAATTAACATCTCTTGACCTCTATAAGGGTCCTTGGCTCCCTATTTTGTGTATATACTGATAACCATTCTTCTTCTGACGATTCAATCCCTGTTTTGAATGCCAGTAACATAAAGTAATGTGGAGTTAGGGCTGATTCAATTGCAGTCTAATCTCAACCAGTACCCTCATCAATCTCCATTACGTCACTTTGTCTTATTTTCCTCGTAATACTTATCACTATCTGCTATTTCCATATTCATTTGATAATTTATTGTCTGTATCTCCTACTGGAAAATAACCTGCATGGAAGTAGGAACTGTTTTTGTATCTGAGCAATCAGAACCACTCCTGCCACACAAAACCAAACAACCATCCTGCCACACAAAACC